TTTTTTTTTTTTTTTTTTAATTTCAAAATCTGTTATTACGTGCTCTTTAACGATCAGGTCGATATGTTTAAGAGTCAGTGGGAAAAGAAGTATGATCCATTTGTTGCGCCGTTTGATCGATCAGACCCCAAAAGGCCACGTACTACTGACTTTTAGTAAGTTAGTTGCTATTCCATAAACAAAGATAGTTTTTGGCTTTCAACATGTATTTGTCAACAATGTAAAGTCGTGTTTTGTTGGAGTTGGAATAAAATTCTTGTTGTGTATTATTAATTCCATAAATGGATGCCTTTATGCCCAACAATAAATTTCCGAGCCAACACACACAAACATCCAGTCTAAGAATTAGTCTCCTAATATTGTCAATTGATGCTTTCTGTGTTATCAATTTGGAACATCTCACCCTGGAACAAAAGTTGAAAGATTTGGTTTCCCAGTAAATTATGGTTTAGGCCAATAGCACCGGATAACGTTAGAACCTTGGGATACCCTGCAGCTTCTGGAAAAATCCTAATCTCTTTTATTTCATTGAGAAATCTCCATATTTTAGACCTTGACTTCTTTTTGGCTATGCATTATTACTTTTCAGCCATTAGATAATTGGAGATCACAGTCTTTTGATTACCTTGCCAGATTACTCATCTTTTACTTATTGATAACAGACAATTGATGCCATCGACAATGGAATCAATCAGTACGACACTGAAACAGCCCCCAAAATATGTGAATAGCACACACTTGTCTTCATGGGTAAGAAAACTGATTTGGATTGGGTAGATCCTGATCAGTCATCGGAGAAGGAAAATGCGGCCTTTGAAAAAGCTCTTGCTGGGGGAATGTTTTTGGATGTAAGTTCATTCAAGCAAATTTGAGTGCTATCCTTTTCTTCCTACATTGGCAGCTTGTTTAATTTGAATGTTAGCTCTTTGATCAACAAAATTAGTTTGAATTCTTTTTAACCCTGAGGTCTTTTCTGATGAGGTTGTAATTTGAAGGTTTGTTGGTTTGAATTTAGAAGTGATGACTGTCATTGTCTTTATTTTAAAGCGTGCGAAATCATGCGAGATCATGGCTACCTCTTGAAGCAAGGCTGGATGCTGATCCCAGTGGAGAAATTATGGTTCTCAACAGATTTTGACCGGTGAGTCTTTCTTTACTTTTTATCCCTGCAGCACACAGGAATGTGAACATTATTTATTTTACCTCCCTAGCAACGTTTATGATATCCTGTCTCTGCTTCCAACTTTATTAGTTGCCATTGTTCTAACCAATCCGACAGATAATGTTGTTAAACGACGTGATATTTCAAATTGAATGGAAATAATATAACATCTTAAGCCGTAAATGTGATTTTCCAGTATGCTCGTGTTTTCTCCACTGAATTTCCTTCAAACTTTTATTATGGCAACATTTCACCTCCATAAAATACTTGCATACTAAGAACACTTGGCACATATTTTGGCCTTCAATTAAGTGGCCATATTCTCCTTGTATATGTCAAAAAGTTAACATGATCAAGCTGGCCTTAATTCTCGGTCGCAATAGTTATCTACCAAATGCCTTTGAGGAGTATGTTATGAACTCGATTTTTCTGTAATTTTTGTATAAATTTCGTAGGATTTAGCTTGAGAATTAGAGAGTTGCAGAAATTGGGGAGCTGAGAAAGAAGAAAAACGTGAGGGAGAGAGAGTCGAGGGGAGAGAGACAGAGATAAAATAGATAATGATATTACTTCTTGTTGTTCCTCCTTTGGGGTAACACCCACCTATTTATAAATTACCTATTACAAATACTAAACCATCAACCGATTGACTATAATAAACGGTTGAGCCCAATTCTTACTAACACATCACTAAAGCCCAAACCTATCTCATGCTATAATAAAACTAATACAAAATAAGTAGCTAAATTACTAATATAATATAACTTCCTAATAAAAGCTCACTCCCTATATATTGGGTACATGACAGAGTAATTGAGCGACATATCGTGATCACTCCACATGCAACAATGTTTTGTCCTGTTATTGACTCCATGGATAAGATAACATTCGTTGTATTTTCCAACAGTGGAAGCTTCACTTGTTTGAGCTCAAGGAAGAGTTGAAGATAAGCCCACCTATCAAATATGTACTTTATAAGGTAATAGTCACTTGCACATTCCCTTATCACATATTTTGAGTTTTACTCGTCCAACAATCTTATCACGTGTTCCCGTAAAAAAAATCAGGATGAGAGGAGCAAAAGTTGGCGAGTGTAGGCAGTGACTATAGCTTCCGATAGATTCGAGAGCCGAAAGGCACTTCCTGCTCATTGGCGGGAATAAAACATTCGAGGGTGCTCTTGCAATGGCTAAAGCTGCTCTTGAATTCTGACCACGAGAAGGAGCATCGGAGTGGACGTTTATGCCCTCATTTGAAATCCGTTTCTCCATTAATTTTGTGACCCGACTCTAGACAACTTTATTCCTGAATGTACTTGGGAATCTTTCTGTCAGATATTTTTTCGATTACTTTCACAGTGAGTGGATTGACGAAAAAAATTGAACTTCGGTTGGTCTGTTGCATACATTTTCATCTTTTAATGATAAGATAAGGGTGTATGTGAGATGTGCAGATAAAGAGTGTAACTGGAAGATCACTCTTGAAAATAAAGGATCAAGCCAGTTATCAAATTAGGGAAAACAACCCAAACCACACTTGCTCTGAAACATTTGAGGTTAAAAATATCAAATCAAATTGGTTAAGTGAAAATAAGTCATTTTCAAACTGATCCTAAAAGAAGTGTTAAAGGCTAAAGGCTGGATACTTAATATTATTAACAATCTTAATGTTAATATATCAAAGGATCATGCCTATAGGGCTAATAGAAGAGCCTTAGCACAACTTGAGTGTGAATTCGATCATCAGTATTCTCAATTGTGGGATTATGCGAGGAGTTGAGAACTTCAAACCTGGGTCAACTGTTGTTCTTTTTACTGGGAAGGTTGATGGTGAGGAGAGATTTCACAAATTTTTTATGTTTGTTTTCAAGCTCTGAAAGAGGGGTTCAAGTCTGGGTGTAGGCCAATTGTTGGTTTAGATGGCTGCCATTTAAAGGGTCCACATAGAGGGATATTGTTGACTGCAGTAGGTGTAAGGTGTAGATCCAAACAACACTTTGTTTCTCATTGCCTTTGTTGTAGTATGGACTGAGTGTTTTGAAACATGGGAGTGGTTCTCATCATTCTGAAGAGGGATCTAGGCATTTCTAGGCCTGAGCAGTATACTTTTATTTCTGATAAGCAGAAGGGCCTTATCAAAGCCTTTGTTGTTGTGCTCTCTGAGGCTACTCATAGATTCTGTGTGAGGCATCTACACAATAATTTTTTGAAGGCTGATTTTAGGGGTTTGTCCTACAAGCATGCTATGTGGAGAGCAGCACAAACAACCACTGTGGGTGAATTTAATGTCATGATGCTTCAGATTAAGAACATGAGTAAAGAATCTTTTAACTGGTTCCTTGATAAACCACCACAACAATGGTCAAAAGTTTTTTTTTTTTTAATTGCCAAAGTATGACATGTTGCTCAATAATGTGTGTGAAACTTTTAACTGCAACATTCTTGAAGCTAGGAAAAAGCCCATTATCACTATGCTTGAGTGGATTAGAGAATACATATGCATTAAGATGCAGAAAAAAAGATACAAGGCAGAGTTGAAATGGAAAAACAAGATTTGCCCTAATATAAACTTGATCCTTCAGAAATACTAGTCACATGTGTCTGACTGCACGCCCATTAAATGAGATGATAGGCACTACCAAATTAAGTGTTATGATGGATCACAGTTCACTGTTGATTTGAAGAAACGACATTACAGCTGTAGGGTATGGGATTTATAGGGCATCCCGTGTAAGCATGCTTGTAGTGCCATACTTGTTCAGAAGTTAGTACCTCTTGATTTTGTTGATGGCTGTTGTTCTTAAGATTCTTACAGGAATGTGTATAGGGGGTCGATATTAGGAACAAATGATCCATCACTATGGAGACAAATTCTTTTTGTTCCCCCTTTACCTCTCAACTTTGAAAGGGGTGCTGGCAGGCTTTCAAGGGCAAGAAGAAGGGAGCCAAAAGAGACTCATAAGAAGGGAAAAAATAGAAGAGGGAAGAAGCCAATGAAATTGAAGAGGCAACAACCAACTGTGAGATGCAAACAATGTGGCTTGGCTGGCACAATGCAAGAACTTGTCAGAAAAGAATAAGCAATAAATGAACCCTTTAAGCCAATTAACTCAAGAAGTGGACAACAATCCATTGAAAAGGGATTATGATACAATTGTAAGTTATGATTTTTGCATTAAAATTTGTAAGTTAAGTTATTGTTGTTATAAGATTATGTGAGTTGACTTTCTGTCATTGTGATTGGTTCATTTTTCTAATGTAGGTTGCAATGAAAAGAGCTTCAGCCGCTAACAACAACAACATATCCAATATATTCCCAACTGGTTGGGGTCTGGGGGGTCAGTTGTACACAGCTCTTACTGTTGTATAATTACAAGGAGGCTGTTTCCGTAGCGACCCAAGGTGTGTTGCGTCATGTGATATATTTTTTTTTCTAGAAACTTCACTAATAGAAGAAACACTAGAATTTAATTGAGTGAAACACTAGAAACACTTCAATTCAACCAATCTCATGTTTTCCTCTCGCAATACTTCATTCTCAACATGCAAAACATTTGATTTTCGTAACAATCCAAGAATAATTTCTTTCGACCTTTTACAAATAGGTGGATCAACCCAAGAGAAGAACTCACACCCTTCTCTCTACAATAAGCAAATAAGTGATCATGTTTTTTGTTATTATTTTTTTGTAACAAACAGCAAGAGGAACAAAACAACAATGGAAATGAATCATCACTTACCTCATACACAATGCACGAACGAAATCGACGTCCAGGATTTTCAGGCATCCAAGAGGTTTGAATAACCGCTCTTTGTCTGCAATAGTAGAATCTATGATCGACGACATATGAATTTTCCGACATTTATGCGAGGAATTCGAATATTGGAAAAATTGGGGATTAGGGTTCTTGGTTTCAGAAGCTAGGGTTCTGTGAGGTTGATTTGGGGCTGAAGTCGATTTGTCGATTTTTAAAGAGTTGAATCATTTTTTTTT